TTCCTCCTCAGCCTCCTCCTTCCTCCTCAGCCTCCTCTTCCTCCTCCTTTTCCCCCCGCCCAACCCCTGTCGGGCTGATGCTCCTGGGTCTTGGTGACCCCCTTTGAGGGGTGACCTGGGGGTCACTCCAGGAGCTCTGAGGTCACTCCAGGAGCCTTCTTCCTTCTCTCCTCCTCTTCCTCACCCTCCCCTCCTCTTCCTCACCCCTTCTCTTCCTCCTCTCCTCCTCTTCCTCCTCCCTTTCTTTTCTCCTCAACCAAACACTTCTTGGGTTGATGCTCCTCGGTCTTGCCCAGACCCTTTGAGGGGTGACCTGGGGGTCACTCCAGGAGCTCTGAGGGTCCTCCAGGAGCCTTCCTCACCCTCCCCTCCTCTTCCTCACCCTCCCCTCCTCTTCCTCACCCCTTCTCTTCCTCACCTTCTCCTCCTTTTCCTCCTCCCTTTCTTTTCTCCCCACCCAACCCCTGTCGGGTTGATGCTCCTGGGTCTTGGTGACCCCCTTTGAAGGGTGACCTGGGGGCCACTCCAGGAGCTCTGAGGTCACTCCAGGAGCTCTGAGGTTGCTCCATGAGCCTTCCTCACCCTCCCCTCCTCTTCCTCACTCTTTCCTTCTCTTCCTCACCTTTTCCTCCTCTTCCTCACCCCTTTCCTTCTTCCTCTTCCTCCTCCTTTTCCTTCCTCCCCACCCAACCCCTGTTGGGTTGATGCTCCCGGGTCTTGGTGACCCCCTTTGAGGGGTGACCTGGGGGTTGCTCCGGGAGCTCTGAGGTCACTCCAGGAGCTCTGAGGTCACTCCAGGAGCCTTCTTCCTTCTCTCCTCCTCTTCCTCACCCTCTCCTTCTCTTCTTCACCCCTTCTCTTCCTCCTCTTCCTCCTCCCTTTCTTTTCTCCCCACCCAACCCCTGTTGGGTTGATGCTCCTGGGTCTTGGTGACCCCCTCTGAGGGGTGACCTGGGGGTCACTCCAGGAGCTCTGAGGTGACTCCAGGAGCTCTGAGGTCCCTCCAGGAGCTCTGAGGTCCCTCCAGGAGCTCTGAGGTCACTCCAGGAGCTCTGAGGTCCCTCCAGGAGCTCTGAGGTGACTCCAGGAGCTCTGAGGTCGCTCCAGGAGCTCTGAGGTGACTCCAGGAGCTCTGAGGTGACTCCAGGAGCTCTGAGGTCCCTCCTGGAGCTCTGAGGTCACTCCAGGAGCTCTGAGGTCCCTCCTGGAGCTCTGAGGTCACTCCAGGAGCCTTCCTCCCCCTCTGCTCCCCCAGGCCAGTACACGACGGGCCGTGGCTCGTCGGGGGTGGGTCTGACGGCGGCGGTGCTGCGGGACCCCCGGAGCGGGGAGCTGGTTCTGGAGGGGGGGGCCCTGGTCCTGGCCGACCGCGGCGTCTGCTGCATCGACGAGTTCGACAAGATGCTGGAGGGCGACCG